CAAATGGAGCAAAATGCTGAACGTTTTGCTGAAAAAACCTGTAAAAAGTTCAATATGACAAGAATACTGTACATGAAGGAGATTGTCAGCATTGTTTCACGTTCCCAGCACAAGGACGTTTTTCAGAAATGAGCAATTTTGCTTTTTTCCCTATTCAGCACAACAGGTTAGCTCAATTCTCCCAGCAGACGGAGGCTAATCTTGCTTTGGAGAGCTTGCCATTCCAGCTCTCTGTCTCAGTTTATACCAGGGTCAAAAAGGGAGGTGAGAGAACATGTACCCCCACCTCTATTTCCATGAACAAACACTCGCTACACACAGCAAAGCCCACTTATCACATTACTTTGCAGTCTCTGAGTGTGGACAGATAAACACTGTGACGACCGAAGGCCTGCGATAATGCTCAGGGGGAGGGCGAGGAGGACAGACGAGGGCTGATCCCCGTCTGGAAGGACTGAGAGATACCATGGCCCAGAACCTAAGAAATGGGAATGAAAAGAGGGGGGAAAAAAGGGCAAAACACAAGGACAAAGACCTGCTCTGTCCTCACTCAACCTGCCTGGTAACACTTTATTAAAAGAATATCAAACTCCTTAATCTGAAGCGTAAGCAAAACAGCCAATGCTCAGTTCGAGGAACATGTAAAATGCCAGCCAGCACCTAAAATTAAAATAAAGGCGATAAGATGGGAAGAGAGTGACTAAATTAATATTCCTAAATCAATATTTCAAGAGGATTTCAAAGAAAGCGCAACTTTTTAAAATTATCATTAAACACTCTAAATTGATTAATAAATCATTCACACGGACAATGAATTCAGACAAAGAGTATTAGGATGTTTTAACTTGTGGAATGGGTCTAATCATTTGATGGACGAAAAAGTCAAATAAAACCAAAAATAATCTAAATTCAAACTTTTATGAGTCCAAAGTCTTATACAGTCAGCATTTTATAAAACTTCTGGGAGGCAACCATGAATGCAAATAATAATTTGATTACAGAGCAGCAGAACAGAGTAAAAACTGTTGAACCTTTTAAAATCCCACCGCAATCTCTCCTGATGGGAGTTTTTTTTTTTTTGCTTGGATCCAAAATGTGGGTCAGTAGCCTATATTTGGCCATCTGAGCTCCTCTGATAAGTCATAATCTCATCACAATCCTAAATCTGCTCCTGGACAACATGTCTCGGCAAAGACATCACAGCAGTGAGACACACCTCCACCTGTGTGTGTGTCAGCATGTAAAAGGCAGCCGCGGTGACACGGCGGGGGAAAATCCAAGCCCAACAACGGCACACCACAAATACAAAGAATACTTTCTTCCACAGGTGCTTTGTGTTGTTATGCTACATGACCACTACAAAGGTTAGGCAGATATGGTCACAAACGTTCTTCTCATTCCATTGTTTGCTTTAGTTTCTGCCGCTGTGAAATGTTACAAACTCGGCCTCATTTTGATTTTATCTCCTCTGAATGCACACTTGCGTGAAATGTGTAGAAAACGTGCACATTCTCAATCTCTGCCTGGTTTGTTGTCATAGGAGTGCGACAGCTGAATTCATCCTCACATTATCGATACATACGAAGTAAACGGCAACAAAATTTACTATGAAATCACCATAGAGAGAGAGAAAAAAAAAAAGTACAAATTTACTTCACACTGTAGAGCAGAAGTACATTTTCACTGCAGGAGGCCAACCCTTAGCAACAGGCAGAGTGAAACCAGAAAATGTCTGCTCACACTTTTGCCGAGAGGTGCAGTCCCACTGAAACATCAATTCCTCTGACATTTGGATCCAAACTCTGCCTCCTGACAGCAGCATCAGGAGATGTCCGTTGCCATATCAACAATTATTTTTGTAGTAACGGCAAGCACTTCTGGGAATTTCGCTGCCCCTTGTGAAGAGATCAGAGCAGACCACTGCGGCTCCGTTGGAACTTTGCAAAGCAAAGATGAGAAGGCGATAGATGCCAAGCATTAAAGGATCAAACATCAGAGGTGATAGTTGCAAGTACACAGATGAGCAACTCAAGCTATAATGTCATGCAACATTATGTGCGATAATAGATTAGTTCCTGGTTATAAGTCAGTCAATCTTTTTGAGATTTTAGCTGGAGTCCACATGCACGTTTGTGTTCATGTTGTGAGAAACTGTCTTTTCTTGCAGGTGTATTATAAGCAGCTTAAAAAGTGAAGAGGAAAAGAAAAAAAGCATCCACTTCAAGAGGTAAACCGTACCGCAGCCGGTTTATCACTGATAATCCGATGTTTTCTGGACAATATTATTCAAATCTGCCCACACTATTTTTTTCAAAAAACACATTACAACCCCCTAGAACAATTCGTCAAAAAACAAAAGTAAACAAACGGATAACTACTAAATCAGCTCTACCAGCAGTAACTAAACGCAGAGAGCAGGATCTTATTCCTACCTGTTGCTATAGTTTCAGCAGGCAGCCGTGCGACAGCATCAACCAGAGACGTCAGCCTGTCAGACTCTGCCGGAGCAGGAGCTTGTGCTTCTGCTTGAGCTGAACGCTGTGGCAACAACTGTAAACGAACGCCGTGCCAACCAGGGTGCAACTTATTAACCAACGCACGGCACAAGACACGCACAGAAAGCTCGCACGGCTGCCGCCGCCATAATTATGCACTCCTTTCAACATAATGTCTGAAGAAAAAAAAATTAAATGACTAAGAGGTAGTCTTCTCTTTCCACTTTGGTCTGAAATCAACTTCCTTATAGACAGGATCTTAGTCAATTAACTCGATGTGAAATGGAAGTCTGTGTTCCACATTAAACAGTCCAGAGCTCATGGGGAATAACCCGATATTAAACTGGTCAGATATGTTTAGCCTCCCCAACTCCACCTTTCAAACACTCTCGGGAACCCTGTAGCTAGATGGGCTTTAGGCCAGCAGGCAACAACATAGGTGTTCCTCTCCCCAGCCCTGATAAGTTGGCTTAGTGTTACAGTACACTGGGTTCATCTTTCACAGTTACGGTAACCAAGGCTAAGAACTTCCCTTCTGGTCACACTGCATTTTGATGTTGCCAGTACACAACCCTTACTGTAAAAGAATATTTAGACACCCTGCTAAATGTAGGACATGTTTTGTTCTCCAAAATACTTCACAATTTGGAACAGCTGACGCATACCCCAAAATTGGAGAGTGGTTTCAAACAAACTAAATAAGCAAAGTAAGACTAAATGAGAAAAAAATGCAACCCAAAACATTTTAATGCATTATGCCTTTGCAGAACAAAGCTAAATGTTTGCAGAGTTTGGCTTACAGTGCGGCACCTTTTGAAAGCTATGTGCCATCTCTTTCAAACAGCTTGCATTCACAGCGATATCTGAATAGAGTTTAACAAAGCAGTGCTTCTGTCATTTGGATGAAACAGAAAAAAAGAAATGACAACAAGACATAAATAAAGCTCAAGTCCCCCGTTTGTTTTGATAACTGCCTTAGTACCATTCATCATCTTCCAAGGAAAATGGGCCACCTTGTAGTGACTCATAAGGAATGTATAATTAGCTTACCTGTTAGACCTGTTACTCATCAACTCATCCGCCCAGGTTGGCAGTAATGTTCAAGGCTACCGAACTTATTAGCCACACTCTCTGAATTTATTACCAACTGAAATAATTGGGAGGTCATAAATTGAAAACTGAGAGGCATGGGAATGTGCCGCGGCCTTTAGTGTCACAGCTGCTCTGCTCAACTTCCTCCCCAAGTGCATTTCCTCATTTCACTTCAGCCCACATGGCTTAATGGCCGAGCGCTTTCCGTTTATAGAAACCCTACGAGGATGAATTACAGACCCACCTAACCTCAGAGTTAGCAAGTTATTTACATCAAAGGCTGGCAATCGAATCGCACCAGAAAAGTTGAAAAAGAGTGGCGGTGGCTGCACCCTGAAAGAGGAAAACCCATGACAGCACGGACAAATATCAGTTTGCCAACCAACTGCTTTCCCTTGGTAGATAGTTAGCCTGGTATATGTCTCCAAATACTTCTGTACTTCAAGATGTGGGTCAGGAATGGTCACAAAGGGCGGAAGGCTACTAGCTAGCTCAGCCGCCATATGGTTACTTCAAGCCAGTCTCGTAAAGCCAATGACGTTTTTCCGAGAGTCCCATCAAACCCCCAGATCAAACTCACACACTGGTATGGATTAGTAGCCATTGGTTACACATTCAAACAGTGCCGCTGCCGTGGACGTTCATTAGCCGACAAGTTAAAACGTTAACCCGAGAATGGGTTAACATTAAGCTAGACATTGTGCAAGTGACATGCTACCGATACCTGTACAATTTCACCAGCTCATTGTACAGCTAGGGGTAAGGCGAACTCTTTATACACGACACCAGACGTCGAGTTTGTCACGGAGGGGTGCTACAGCACGACCATATTCGCCATAAAAATAAATCCGCTTAGAAGCGAATTCCCCCCGCTTCTTTTAAGAAATAGCAATAGCTCCAACAGCAAGCTAGCGCCGCAGCATTAGCTAGCAGGTTAGCTCCGCTTCGCACTTTCCTTCCATCAGTAACGTTTCCTAACTAGACTTCTGAAACATTAAGGCCACAAATCACGGTTAACTGACATCAAGGTTTATACTATCGACGGAAGCAAAACCAGTGCCTGTTAAGTACGAAGTGAACGACATAATTGCAAACGTTCTCGATTGAAAGCTTTCTTCAGCAAGCTAGCGAGGCTACATATTGGTTCGTCTTCTTAGACAAACCCTCATGCTACTTACTTTAGCCGTGCTGAATTGTAGAATTCATCTTAGAACATCAAACAGAACTTTTAGATGGAACTCTAGCCTATAATGCTATATACGTAAACCAGACCGAAAAACGATGTCCAGTTTAGACATAGTGTATACTAAATACTTACAAAGAGCAGGTTGAACATTGAAATCCCGTGACTACCCCGGAGAAAGTGGAGGGAGTGCAGTCTACGCTGTCAGGTCGCCTTTTTGTTCCTCCTAAATGTGGCAGCTTGAATTCTCGCTGGGTGTCGGGCTCTCTCGGAGGGGAGGAGCCTCCTCGGTTGTTCCTCGAGATGTTCAGGGACGGTAGGAAATATTTCCGTCTTTTGGGGCTCGGCGCACACAAAGTGTTTAACCAAAGCCTACGCTAGGAAGAACCAAGACATGCCCCTAAATTTAATATACACCCGGTAACATCCCAGCTACCTTGGGCTCCTAATTACGTGCACTAAAACACACGAGTTTTAAAAGAATTGTCCATCATTATTTTAATCGTATGTTACGATTTAATGCATGATATGGCTTCTGACGTCCTCATTAGCAGAATTTCTGCTGGATTTGACGCTAGATAAATGATTACTATTCGACGCTTTCCAATGTTACTGAAGCCCAAATTTTGTGTCAATAAAAGCAAAATTATTCACAACAGGTAGTTGAGAGTGTCCCCTTAACGGGGAACACCCAATGCAACACGGAGGCTCTGGCGTCAATAAGACGTAAGAAGAATCCGGGTGACTGATGACAGCTCACCGTGCTGACGACAGTTCCAGAAAGTTAGATCAGCATATCATCCCAGAGTCCGTAGATTGAATTGATTTGTTTGCTTGTTTATCGAAGATAATTTTTCACGTTCTCATCTAATGAAACTTCAACTCGCTTCAGCTTTGCTTCAGATAAATTATGCAGTTGACCCCGAGGGGCATATACCAAAGTTCATTTTATTCTGTTGTTTTTCATTTATTTATTCTCTTCATGCATTTTCACTACTTTATATACATCAGTTCAAATTATGAATGTGATTTTGAATAAAATATCACACACGTGCATCTTTTTACAGTGTCTTCATCAGTACAGCTAAAAACTTTACAAAAGGATTAGAGCTTTCAATTCCAAGAAGAGCCTCGCTAATTTACTAGAATTCTATATCTCCCTCTAGTGTTCAAATTTGGCTTAGAGGGATTGCACTTGCTCACTCTTCATTCTCAGCGGTTTCTGAGTTAAACAGCTGCTACCTTTTATGATATACAAATAAATGTTACTCTTATGATGGAGCAAAGCATTGGCAAGAAATTATCTGACACACACATATAAGAAAGTCTTTATTGATGTGATATCAATACAATCAAGTACTGTAGATTTTGTATAAGCAGACAAACATTTTCAATCAAAAGGAGTGCATTTTATACCCAAATTCTATTGCAGAGTGCATGCCATAGCTATGTATGACCAAAAAAGAAAAAAAAAGTGTTGATACATGACATGACACAAATAGAAAATAAATGTCCACAAATAATCCTTCACAAACAACTCTAGAATGCTAACTACATGATGTTAATACTCTTAACTCATCAATGCTATTAAATACCATTTATATGTTCTAGGCTTCGGTGGTCAGTTTTGGCATCCCTATTAAATTATCATAAATGTATAAATACATCTTCATTAATTTCATGTGCAAATGGGAATGGCCGTTTGTGTTTACTGAAGCTAAAACAAACAAATATCCCTTAAGAACCGAAGCAAGGGTGTTGTGTATTTTTTTTTCCGTTTTCTTTTTTTTAATAAACAAAAAAAAACAAGAAACAGTTAAAAGCAATAATTTGCAATTGAGACGATACATGGATCTCACTGACACTTGTTAAATGATTTGCACTCAGCGGCAATTCAGCAAGTGACATTGTCTATGGAAACATAAGGAAAGAGCGTAAAAGCCACATCTAACTCTCATCACCATTTCATATGTGAAAAAAATGGAGGATGACGACAAAAAAATAACATACAGCACATAACAAACCTTGGACTGCCTTATTGACTCGCATAAAAATAATACATAGCAATTGTAGGTGTGTTCATGCTATGAGATACAGAGGGTAAACGTAAGTGCATTACATAGATGTAAAATACTGATTACTGCTTTTCCAGAGCAACTTGGATAGCCGGAGTTTAGCGACACAGCACTGAAGGTGGATTGTAGAAACAATATTAAATCATTCAAACAGTGTACATTCTTTCTAATTGCAAAGCTCAATATTTGGCACTGTCCTCCTGCACATTGACATTTCTTCATCAGCGTGTAATGTAGTTGTTATTCAGTGTAAAAAGTGTTTGGGCGGCATAAGTAAGAGTTCTGTCTGAGATGAGACTAGTAAAGGCACAGCGATAGTCACGTAAGCTTCTCAGGAAAAAAAAAAAACACTCACACGAGTTTTTGCCTGGACCACCTGTTTTTATCTCAAATTCTTTTCAACATTTCATACGATGCCTTTTTTTTGTCCGTGACTTGGTCAGACTCAAAATTATTGCACGCCATTATTCGGTTGATCGGATCAATATGCAAAACAGCCTGTTCAGTGTTGACCAAAAAATGCCTTTTTTTCTGTTTATTCTCAGCTCTGATTTCAGTTTTTCTCTGTTTCCCATGTTACATTCATCACCTATTTCAGTAGCTTGTTCCCTTGCGTTGCAAACGCTTTATTAGAGTGTTGTGACGTAAACCTCTTGTTAGATTCTCGTAAAACCAAAGTGGGCCCAAAATATCTGGATGTCTAAATTCTAAGCTTTGTTGAGGAACATTGACAGAACCATAACCTTTTCTCTGGGTTTTGTAACTTCCTTTGAGTTTATTATTATCCTTGCTAAAGTATTCATGGCCTGCTTACCAAAGGGGAAACATGACTCACACTAACACACACACACACAATATCATACACTTACAAACACCAAGACAGACAAAAGGGTACACCCTCTACAGCATTCAAGCGCATGCACTCAGAGTTTATGTTTAATCCTTCATCCAACAGAAATGAGTAAATGCACAGGTCTCACCTCTGACCTACCACCTCTAGAAATCTGTCAGCGGTTTGTTAAATGTTACTCAACCTGTGTTTCGTAACCTCTGAGCCTCAGTCAGTCCCTTTCCTTAATCATCCTGTAAATGTAAATTTATTCTAATTTCTGGATTTTTTTTTTTATTTAGCCATGGCTGTTCCATCAAGGTAAACAAGTGATTTGATTATTTTTGACACGATTAGTTTGGACATGACCAGACAGATTTCCCTCTGAATTCCAAATGATTCAACATTGTTCTCATTTGCTAAGCAACAATCACAAGTCACATATAAAATGGCTCTAAAGGAAGAAGTAGATGTATGTTTGTTGTCATCCATTTATTTCCCTATGTTTTATGCAAAATCAAGTTTTCAAGATATTCACAGAATTTTCAGCAAACTGCTCAATTGGGTCTTTTATGGTATGATTATGAAAAAAGTTCAAACTTGAATGGAATAAAGATTTGTAAATTGGTAGTATACCATTGGAAAAAAAAATCTTTCATTTCATGGATGGAGCATGTGAAGACGATGACTGTGATATGGTGAGGTCATGTGCTGTGCAAATGGGGGGAAAAAACGTATTAATACAGAGAAACGGACTGTTGATCCAACAGACCACATGTCCCTACTGTCCATCAGCAGTTACTTACAGTATCTATTCTATGACATGTAAACATTGACTCCATGCACACCAATATTTTTAATTTGTCCTGAACATTATAAAAGACATTGTCTTTGCATGATAATGTTGATGCTCTTTAAAAGGGCAAATTAGATCCAATAACTCTAATACTGTAAGGTCATATTTATTCATGTATTGTTGCTGGAATGGAATTTTAGGAAATTATAAGGTAGACAGATCCAATATCTTCAATGGCCGGTGACTAAATACAGCAAGAAACAGAAAAATTAACATCCAACAGATACATAACTTTCATATAGCAAATGTTGAGAGTACCAAAGAGGTCAACAGAAAAGAGAGAAGTAATGATGTTGTAGCACCAAATGCCTTGTTTTGCAACTGTATAAGTTGAACATGTTATCTATGTTGTTGTGTTGCTCTTATAGTTCTTTATGACAATATTACCATTCATGGTTCAGATAACAAATGCGGTACATGACTGCAGCCAGGGAACAAATTACTTTACGTCAGAGCATGTGGACAGGATGTGCAGTCACACGGGAAGGTCTGTTTCTAGCACATTACAAGCACATTAAGTACGGCACTTAATAGTCTGGATCCAATAAACAACAACATTGATGATGAGAAGGATCAAACAATAACAATAAAATTATGACACAATAATAATTAAAATGATATACGCCAAAAAAACACCAACATAAAATACATCCCAAAACACTCATTTGGAGGACATAGAAACAAAAACACAGTATGAAAATCCTTCCACTGTCATTTAAACGTTCCAGATTTCATTCACAAAGTTTATTTTTTTCTGTCGCTGATGGTGGGGGTGTTACACGTAAGGTGATAAAAACTATAGAAAAAAAAATCATGGATTTTGAATTTGCTTTACCTAAGTATCTTAGGTCTGGGGCTTCTCTGAGGTGCCAAAACAGAACATGTTTAAAGGAAAGACAGCGTTATGTGGGACAGAGCAGAAATCCAGAGAAGGAGGAATGGATGTACTCGGTAGAATAAAGACCATTTGCCTGATCTGAGGGCATCTGGACCCACACCTGGTCACCCTCCTTCAGCTCTAGGACAGCACTGCCAGATGCTTGGTCCATATAGCCTTTCTTATATTCATCATAGGTATAAGTGGCTGGTACATTGTTCTTGTACAAAGCCACCCACAGGCTAGTTCCCTTTACATGCATGTGGTATGCAAAGTAGTAGACACCAGATAAAGGAGCGGTGAAGATACCAGTAGAAGGGCTGTAGGCATTTTGCCCGTTGTACAAGGTCCTATCAAATTTGATTGGCATGCCAGATGGAGGGAATGGTGTGGTGAGAATAGCTGTGAAGGCTGGTGCCAGAGAGGCAGAGAGTGGAACTTGACTAAATGCAGGCCCTTTTCTGTCCCCTGGTACTTCTTCCCCACCCAACCCTGTATCCGTTGGCCCTGCAACAACTGTTTGGCCATTTCCTGGAGGACCAGGTGGTCCTGGGGGCCCAGGTAGACCAGGGTTACCATTGAGTCCAGCAGTGCCTGGTTTTCCTGGAGGACCTTGAGGACCTATAGCTCCTTTCTCACCAAACTTGCCCACTCCCGGAGGCCCTGGAACGCCAGGTTCGCCCCTTGAACCTGGGACTCCCTGTGGTCCCATGGGACCCATAGGACCCTGAAGACCTGGAATGCCCGACTGGCCTCTGGGACCTGGAGTCCCTAAAAATCCAGGCTCCCCTTTAGGCCCTGGAGAACCTGTCAATCCTGGATTCCCTGGTGGACCAGAATTCCCTGATTCACCTTTGGGTCCAGGTTTTCCTATAGCACCATTAGGTCCAGGGAAACCTTTTTCTCCAGGGATACCAGGTTTACCAGGAACTCCAAGAGGGCCTTGATCACCTCTAAGGCCTGGGAGTCCAGGGGGGCCCTGGGGCCCTAGTTCGCCCTTTACGCCTGGCATTCCATGTTTTCCAGGGAGCCCCATTGGACCTTGAAGTCCTGGTGGTCCTGGAAGTCCATCGAGACCTGGTTCCCCATTTGATCCCATCATACCTTGGTCTCCTTTCTCCCCTGGGGCACCAGGGAATCCTCCATGACCCTTTTCACCTTTTGGACCATTCATACCAGGTTTCCCAAAGCCAGGTGCCCCAGGATTCCCAGGATTTCCTCGGGGCCCAGGCTCACCTTTTGGACCAAGGGGACCTGGTAATCCTGGAAGTCCATCAAGACCAGGCTTTCCTAAGCCAACTGGTCCTGGCAGACCTTGTTGACCAGGTGCTCCAGGCTGCCCTGGTTGTCCTTGATTCCCAGGGAGTCCTTGATCACCTTTAGAACCAGGTAGTCCTGGCAAACCCTTCAGCCCCGGTTTTCCATTACCTGGAGGACCTGGTTGACCTGAACTGCCTTTTAATCCAGGAGGTCCCCTCATGCCAGGAAGCCCTGGTTTTCCATTTCCATTCTCACCTTTAAGTCCACGCTCACCTGGTGGACCAACAATGCCCTTTATTCCTGGCTCACCGCGAGTTCCAGGGGGTCCTCTTATTCCTGGAAGCCCAGGTTTCCCATTCAGAGACAAGCCAGCAGGACCAGGCAGGCCAGGCTGCCCAGGCTGTCCGCGTGGACCAGGCTCACCACGAGGGCCAACTTCTCCATTGAGTCCCGGAATCCCCTTTGGTCCAAGCTTTCCTGGGAGACCTGGAAGCCCAGGCTTACCAATTCCAGGAAACCCAGGAGGTCCCTGAGGGCCTGGCTGTCCAGGTTGACCTGGTTTCCCCAGTCCAGGTTTTCCCGGAAGTCCTGATGGTCCAGGGGGCCCTCTTGGTCCAGGTTTCCCTTGAGGACCTGTTTCCCCCTTCATCATGGGGGGCATATCTAGAAAAAAAAGGATACTATCAATCTCAAGAATTGATTTTTGCATGGAACTGAGTTTACAAAGTGCACAGGATTGTTCTAACTGTTAGACTTCTGACTAATAAAAATCACTTGGAGCAACAACTAGTTTGGCCTTCAATATTTTTTACTGAAAGGGAATTGTGTAGACAACTGAAACTAGTTCATGCCTGAAGTTGAGAGAATAATTTCTCCTCATTTTAAGACGCAACCAAAAAATTTAAGGCATGAATTCCCAAACAAGGGATCTGCCCAGTCAGCCACAGTAGCTTGTCCCTCTCAGTCATGGAAATCTCTCTCCTCGCAATTATCTCAACACATATTCTCATCATGCTCCTAACATTACTTTCACTTCTGGCTCTTGATGAGACATCCTGTCATTTTTAAAATAAAAATAACTTTGTATTATGTTTGTTATTTTCAATGAGGCTAAATTGTGTTTTTGATTGAGCCTATATTGAAGACATTAACATCATAAAGTTTAAATACATTTCTAATCCCTTGTAAGAATAGTTAGTAATAAAGCACAGAAGTAAAGAATTTCTAAAGAGAATAATAGAATATCTAAATAACAGAAACCAAGTGTAACTATTGTCTTTATTAAAGTGAATTGTAATGTGATCATATGACCACTGAGCGGCAGTAGAATAGAATCTTTGCAGTCAGTGTTAACCAATTACCAATTCGTTTGTTGACTGGATATATATCCAAATATATATATATATATATATATATATATATATACACTGTCTGTGCTTTGTTCGTAAAGGTTTCTAATCATCTAACCTCTTGTAAGATCCAGAAATTTTGTAAAGGTGTAAAGTTTAAGTCTAACTCAATAATGGCCACGACAGCCTGCAACTGTTTTTATCTTTATTTGATTATGACCATCCCTTTGACTTTCCCAGTGTTTTAACTAAGTCTCTTTTATTTATTCTATTTTGATTTCTCACACATTTTCTCCTGGGAAATGTGTTATAAACACTGAAGTAAGAGCATCCAGATGGTGAGAAGAGATACTGGCTGTGTGGAGTTCAGCTAAAGAAATTAGCAATCAGGCTTCAGTTAAGCCCCAACTGTGGACAGCCAAATGCTGGATATGAGCATTTGTGAACAAACGACTTGGCTTAAAACATTTTTTAATTGATCCTGACTGACTGCTATGGATCCATGCTCTCACATATTCAAATGCTAAAATAAAAAGGACCAATTTGCCTGAAGAGCTATTCAACACTTTAAGCAAGGCAGATTGCAAGTTAAGTTTTACATCAACCCGGACACTCACCAACATAATGACCCTTGCCCTCTCGAAATGGAGGTCCAATGGGACCTTTCATCATGGGCTGCATGTACTTCATGTGGGTCATGGGGGGATAGCCTCCAGCAGCAGCATGACCCACAAGCATCAGTAGCATACAGATGGGAGCCAACAGCATGGTAATCAGCATCTTGGAAGTTTCTCCAGGCAAAACTGCAGAACACACATCAAGACAAAGTTTAGATGGACTTGCTTTACACCACCGGCCAAGCTGGTATATGAAATCACTGTAAGTGAGGAGTCTTTGCAATATGTTTTCTGTTCCTTATCTTACAGTACAATTCACAACATAGACGCAGAGGAAAGAAAAGACTCGAGATGAAAAGCCCATACCTAATAAATGATGCATTTTAAAGTCATGCAGCATATATACACGGTCTGTAAATCAAGAATTCTTAAGAGATGTAACAGAATGGAAATGTAATGATTTATATAAAATAATAAAATGATTAAAAGCAGTTCTAGATTGAAGTTGACGCCTGAATATGAATGTCACTGCAACGGAAAACAAAATGTATTAAGTAATGGTGGGAGCATTATGTCTGGTGCTGTTTTGCTTTCATTGGAACTGGTAGTTTGCACGAAGGGAGGTCAAGTAGAGTGCTTTAAAAAAGAAAGAATGTTCCAAAGAAATCGTTTCAACACATCAAAATTGATTGTAAATGGATAAAGCAGGCAAAAAATACAGATTTCCGAAAGTTCTTCCCGAAGCCCTGAGCTCAGTCCTATTCATATGTCATATGTTATGGACATATGAATAGGACACCAAATACATTTAATTGAACACTACCATTTTTCACTGAACTGCATTCAGGAAGAGAGGTCAAATCCAAGTAAGGCAAAGGTACGATTTGCTCAGAGACGCTCAGCAACATTAGGTGAAGTTGACAGGGAAACATACTTAATCTAGATCACCGTAAATTTGTGTGACAAGCACTTCTGTGGAGTTTAGATTGCTTCAGGAAAAAGTGACCGCATCCCTTGTTGTCAAATATTTTCACAGCCATGGTCAGAAGCAAACAGGAAACCCCTAAAACACGTTTGGTATGTTTGCATATAGCATGCGAGCAAATGTAGATGTGCGAGTCTGGCTTGGACCAGCAAAACGATGTGTGGAAATCAGTAATGTCTACTCAAACTCTCCCCCAAGCTGTTTTCATCCGCCCTCCTGAGACTCAGTACTTATGTTGTGCTGATGTGGGATGCAAAATGCAATTTCAAGCTCAGGCTTATAGCTTTTAAATGCCAACCATATCACAATTTTATTAAGCGTGGAAACTCTATAAGCCAGGCTATATTTCATTGCATAGCCAGGTTAGTTTAGGGAGGCATTTACTGATCTCATAGGCACACAGTTGTGGTGTAGATTTACAACAGTGGACAACAGAGTTGCAACAACAATCTGAAATGGCATTTACAGGAGCTGAGAAATAAAACACAAGATAAAAAAATATTTCAGAGCGGTCAAAATTTGGAGATTGAATACTTCAGTCATTATCAGGGTATATCAAGAAACAACAAACAACACTATTCTAGTTCCACCATTTAGCCACCAATCATCCAGCCATGCATTATCTAGTGTCCAATCACACACAATCATTTGCATCCCTTTTTAAACTTTTTTCATCAGCCCCTTTTTACTGTATGTGATCTGTGATGTGTCTCAGGCTCTCTACAGATTAGACTGCCAAAGAAGAGGGCTCTCTTAAGGCCCGGCGGTTACACAGGCAACGGCTGACATTTTCTAATATGAAAATTACATCTCATTACACAAATACAGTTAATTGACTGCAGGATTGGGAGTCATCTGGAGATTTCATAGCAGACTCTAAATCACAAGCACTTAGAAAAAGGTGTGTTCACCATATGTGTCGAGTTTAGTTTTACAGCTCTGCTCTTTCCATTGTCTGTAAATGTTCAGTAACCACACACTGGTAGCAAGATAGTCCTTGTTCTCTATTTCGCTTTTTTAAATGCCACGCGCTGAAGTGTTTTCACGTTAAGATGTTTTCTTTGGATTTCTCTTAAATACATCTGTCTGTAAATGATGGCTGTTTGTGCAGCCGCATGTCTGAGAGTCTAAGCGAGGAAGAGTCAAACGTCTCCTCTACAGTTTTCACATCAAAGAATAATGTGAGAAAAATGAGGAAACCGCAGTCTGATATGTTAAGAGAAATAAACAGTAGGAAAAGAGAGCAGTGCTAGTTGGTCAGTGTTTTGTCACTGGCCGACTTTCTGACTGGCTGGCAGGGAAGTTCGTCTGGTACAGGGGGGTGTGCGGTTTGGGTGCTGATTTAATTTAACAGACAAGTCTGGTTGCCCACCATTCTGAAGGCATCAAAACAGTTGGAGGACCGAATTAATGCAAAGCCAGAAGCTTGTGCAATGAAGCGGGATCCTTCACAAGCCGTCCTCCGCAAACTGTTTGTCAAATGTTTTTGCTGGAAAGTCATGTAGACAATGTAGACACAAAAAAAACATAATGACAAAAAAAAAAAAGAAGGATCTCATATAATCCCTTCTGGCAGGCCACTCTGAGCTGTTGCTGGACTCACACATGCACACCACCCAAGTAACAAAATACACAGTCTTGGTATGCATGAAAGCACAACAAACTGTTATGAAGGGTTTCTGTTTTGAACAGTCATTAACCTTCACCCATTGTCTCCTAAATTCAGACCATTGAAAATACCATCAAAAAACTGTTTGAAAGGAGAGATTAACAAAGGTTAATCAAGCTATTTTCAGTCACTGCACATGTGCAATCCAGGTTTACAATGAAGTTCATCTGGCCAGCTGTGTCTAAAAAGTCATATAAAGCCCATCCAATTAAAACAAAAAGAAGAAAGTCACATCATGGAAAAACTCAAATAAAGAGATTAAAGCATCAAAACAGGAAAGTCACATCAGTAGAGATCTGAAAATAATGAGACATTAAAGCATATGAATAACACATTAGGGTGGTGAATCATAAACTATTGCTTTGTGAAAGAGCAATTCTGTGTTTCTGAGCAGTTCGAAAAACCTTTGCTCTGTAGCATACTGTATCTGGATGAACACAAAGATTTTGAAAGTATTTGAAAGTGTCACTCAACGCTATCCAGGTTCAGACTCATGCACTTTCATTGTCAGGGCAGCCTCGACTGCCGTAAAGCCAATGTTGGGTCTTGCTCATAAAACCGTCATCTGCAATATGTAGTGAACAAATCCAGAAATGTTCGAGTCTGTGTCGCGGGCCAAGAAAAACAAAAGCATCCAAAATTGCTGGATCTTTAGAGAAGCAGTAAATGGTTTGCCCCCTCAACTAAAAATACATTTTCCAGAGGACTTTTTTTTAAAAAACAAGTAAAGTACCCGTGCTGTGAGAAAATCTTTCTTGTTTCTTGATGGACAAAAACTGATGCTTTTAAAAGGCTTGCAGGGGCACAGTATGCACGCTAAAGTTAGGATGCATTGCCTGGTGCAAATTTCTAAGTCTTCTTTATGTTTCTTTTTAGCTTGGATTTAAGGTCAAATGGATGTGTTGGAAGATAAAGACAAAACTTTTACCTGTGTATAAAAACCATGTTGGGTTTCCAGTTTTAAAGCTGTATCTCAGTATATTCTTGGGGATATTTGAATATGACAGATATTTTATTTGATGTATTTAATCATGTTCAATATTAAGCACATGGTGCTGTGAAATAATATACTTTGGAATAAAAAGATATTGGCTGATATTGGCTTCTGCTAATACTGCTGAAACTCTGAAGGAAAGTTAACGTGTTGGCGTTTTACCATGCGTGTTCATCCCAGACAAAACACTCTGTCGCCCCAATTTACATTAAACCTCCCACACCTATCTCCAACTCACCTGGCGCCAACGCCAGACTTGCAGTCATCCCTTATTTTTGAACGTGTGTCGGGTGCTTCTTTTACATAGCCGAAAAACTCTGATCTGCGATGGGCTATTGGCGGCCAAAGCAGAGGCAAGGGGTTTCCAAACCCAAATTCAACATTATCTCCGGAGGCCGGCTCAGACATGCTGAAAAGACACAAACAACCCTGCTGAGTGAGCGAAAGCCAAGCGCACACTTCCCCTAACTGCTCTGTCTACCCACTAATGAAATTAACAGCGCCGGGGAGGTGGGGTTGAATGGGGTTGAATGGGCTCGGCCCCTACCTCCATTCAGCCGCACATGTGTGGATCCAGATTAAACCCCGTGCCACAGAGAGATTATGGGGAGCACCCCCCGGGTGTGGGGATTCAGTGTCGTGCTGGGAAGGGGAGGCGTTTGCTTTTGCGGGCAAACCTGCGAGCCAGTGCCTGAGTGAAGGAATCCTCACCTCAACATCGTGCACTGTGTAAGGGCAGCCTTAACAAAAACACCAAATGGTGCAGAAACAGCTGAGGTCTGGGATGGTTTAATAGGCTTGGTTTCAACCACAGGCCTCGCGGAGTTCTACACTTAAACCCTAACCAAATATTCGAGCTGATTCATCCAATTTTGACAAACCACAGCCGCAGCCTGGGCCGCAGTGACTCCTAGCCCCGACCATGAATGCACGTGGGTTTCTCGGCCGCAGCCAGCCTCATTCACCAAACTCTTCAACGAGGCAAAAGCTGAGAACCTGCACAAAGAAATAGGATTGAAAGCATCATACGGGAGGACAGATGGTGACTTCATATTAAGTTTTAGTCACCTTCAGTTCTTTAAACGCTAAAATAAAATCAAACCCACAAAGCTACTGTGGGGTGTTATCTCCTTAATTAGACATCCCACTCTTATTTCCACTTTATCAGACTCTGCCTTTTTTTCAAGGAGTCCTTGTGCCGGTTTAATTAGCATAAAAATCTTTCATTTTCCTTATCTACAGTATATCAAAAATAAAATGCTGGCAGGAATTTATCGTTGATAGCAAACAAAAGGGGCAAATCTGATCTTTGTTTTTAGGTTGGTACTTAGAAAAAGCAACACAACAGAAAAGACAAAAAATATGTTTTTATCACTATTTCTTTTTTTAAAATTAGATACGTTTCACGTATCTAATTTTAATTCAGATAAGATGAGAAGAGAACAGTGCCTGTGGAGCAGGGTTGTGTTTTACCGACATCTCTACTGGTAAAAGCAGTGGAGAAAAAGGCCAATAGGTGCTCAGCGTTTTTGTTGATGGACTCATTAAGGAAGGAACAAGTAAAAGGAAATGGAGGGTCCGGGTCATGTAAAGTGTGGGGAGTGAGAGGAGCTTTGGGGAGCGGAAAAGAGTGACGAGGTCAGAGAGGAGGTTTTTCGTCTTCTTGATGACTTCATTCAGGGAAACATGCTTAATACCCCATGGGAAAAGCATCTGAGCGCAGAAGCAGATGTGCTAATAATAAACCGAGGGGGCTGATGCGGTGCGCAGATGAAAGTGTTTGGGCGTGGGACAAAAGGTGAGGCCGTCAAAATGGGGCTAATTAGTCAAAAAGTCAATGTAATCTGGGGGCCCTGACACGTGTTACGCAGTTTTTCAGCAGACGGAGAGTTGCAGGCCAGAGGAAATGCCTAAATCACACTCTGTGACCATGACCATATTTTTTTAAAACGCTGCAATAGTCTGCAAACCTCCAAAAGTTAACCCTGATACACGAGGAAGAGGATGGCAGCATAGTAGAGGCTGAGAAACAATGAGAGTCTGCAGGCAGACTCAGGCAGCTGTTCTTTTCCTTCTGCCCTGCTGGTGCACCTAAACCCAACACAAGCTTAGGTAACAATACACAACCCCATAAAGGGGCAGTCTGCTGTCACCTTTCCAGAGCAATAAATGTTGTTCTTTTTAAGTTTGCTGGAAAGGTCACTGGAAGCACTGCTTCCACACTTACAACAACCGACGTTACAAGTGTTTTTCTCAACTTGTGAAAACTGAGAAATGGATGCAAAGACGGAGATTTATAGACGTGGAGCACACAGTCCATAAAGTGAGTTGTGTGGTAGAGGGACACTGAGGAGATGACCTCACCTCAGAAGGAAAACCTTCAGGACGTCCAGTAATGCGATCCCCTGTAAATCAGAATGATCGCTGTGTCTCGCTCTGTCTCTCAGGTCTCAATTGGCAATCTCAGCCCCCCCCCACCCCCCCTTCCCACACATACATATTCCCCACTTTCTCTTCTCTGAGCCCCCTGCTCTCTGTGTTGCTCATTGCTGGTGTGAATAGCCTTACTGTTTGCTGCCAAAGCAGACCGAGTGAGGCGATTCTTTTCCTGCTGTTAATTTCATTCGAACAAATTGCACGGAAGAACAGGAAAGAGCAAATTAGAAAAAGGGAGCGAGCGTTACAAAATACGGCATGTCAGTGAACGTGCACTGGAATTTTAGAAGATAGGGGAAATTGGTTTAAAACTTTGGAGTAAAAAAAAAAGGATTAATGTTAACATTTCCCTATTCAAAGATGACTTAGCTCTGTAAAGGTTTTTAATAAGTGTGAAGGACATTTTTCTTAAGATTGATTAGAATTAAAAAGTCGACACAGCAGAAATACTTTCAAATTGTTCTCGTTTCCATTCAGTGTTCATGCAGCAACAAAGCCCCTGGCATCTACAGGTGCTATGGAATTCTTTTAGTGTATTTAGTGTAGTGCCTGTCGCACAATCTGAATCAACCCAAAGCACACCCTGGACATCTGTCACCGGGGTATTACATAGAAAAGCAACCACTGAGTTCAAATATTAATCTGATCATATCAACCTGCTCCATAAAGCTGGTTCCATATTGGAAACCTAATGTGTTGTTCTTAGGTTGTAGGGTACACTGCAGGGGAAAATTGTGCGAAAACATAAAAAGTTTGCCTTATACAGCAAAAGGTAAGTTATAGAAGTTTCCAACTGGTACCTATTCATCGCTGCTTGGCTCAGCTTTTCTAATTTTTCCAAAAATGTTATTCCACTCAGGGCTAAGGTCTCTTGCTTTGGCGTCTTATTATGTGTGTATCTCATTCTAAAATCTGTAGCTAAATATAAATCCTAAACCAAAAAAAATCAAGTGGGGGTTGTGTCCTCCTTAAAGATTCTTTGACTTGCAGCTCGCTGGTAAGCATGATGCTCACCGGAGGGGAATTGGAATAGTTTATTCTTAGTCCTGATTTGAAAACTAGTCAGTGAATATAGGCCTTGGTAAACGCTGTCTTCTGAGATGTTCAGAAGAAATTCAACTCAATTTGTTGTTGAATGAGGCTCAGAAAGGACACTACAGTTTATCATGTAACATATAAAATGCATGTCAATGCTTTCCTTACATTATGTGCCACGGTTGCCAAACTTTCTTTGCTTTTCCAGGTGCTTGAAAAGAGGACTACATTCTCAAGAGTGATTAAATCTCACTCTTATTTGACATCCATGCATTTCTGGATGAGTAGAGAACCCCACTTACTAAACCAAGACTGTTACATCATTACACTGGGGCTGAGTTTAGTGAAAAGTCATTTGTTCAGACAGAACAGTGTTGTGCAGGATCAAGGAACGAATTCAGAAGTCCTTAAAGCTCTAATGGGCCGGGCTGGGCTGAGTTTGGTCTGTATTATGTCTCCTGTTTCGATGCCATGCCTCTGAGTGGATGTTACTTTGTTCCCCTCGCTTGGTGGGTGGTTTTACTCATGCCAGACAACCACTTTTAAAGCATTCAGTGGAGAAAGGTGAGAGACTTTACAGAGAACTGACAACTTTTGAGAAGAAAAGAGCTCAACAAGCGATCAAAAATGTCTCTTCAGAAACAGGTTCCGCATTGAGCCTTTGGCGTTGCGGCTTTATTCCCTAGCTGTGTGTCCAGGTTTCAATGGTGGCAGGTCATCAAAAGTCAAAGCCGGTTGTGGCAAAGAGTCAAAGCCCATGTGGAGAGTAAGCACGTGAGTCCATTTAAGATTCAGCACTCGGAAGGTGAGAAATGTTCTGGGGCCCTGAAAAAAAGGGGCTAAACCAGGAACAATCACACAACATCAATTGTTCCATTCTTTTTTTTTCTTCGCCAGAGCTGTAAAAATCCCAAGCTGCACATAGTCGGGGCTAACTTCCAGGAAGGAAACCCCCCACCCCCAAAGAAATCCTCTGTTAGTCCATTTCTGTTGTAGGATACCATAGTTTTACTCTAAGAATACAGTGTGTGTCAAGAGCACACAACATTAGGACTCTTATAAAATAATGGAGCGGCACAAAGGACAATTTGAAAGGGGGGGGGGATTGGCGTGGGCGTGAATGAGACATGAAGTCATCTCATAAGGCTGAAGGAGAAACAGTGAGATGAAGAGATGAAAGAGGAAAGTGAAAGCTTTAGCTCTCGGTCTCCCCATTGACCTACTTCAGACGCACGCTCCGCCAATCATCTCGCACACGCCTTCTGAAACAGACTCACAAGCGCGCGCGCACATGTTGTGCACACACAACACAAGTATTGGCTGGCAGCGAAACAGAGAGGGAGGCCTATTTTTTTTTTTTTTGTATGAAAAGGAAAGGGAAGAGAGAAAAAGTGGAAGGGAGATTATAATTTAATAAGGGGCAGGAAATCTTGGTCAAATCCCTCTCAAAGAGTTGAAATGTGTTGGTGCTAGAGGCTACGCTGCGGTAGCCTGAACACTCCATTAGAATAGGCTTCTCTGGCACGGAAAACCAAAAAGATGACAACGAAAAGACATAATCTACTGTAGTGTTGTTTGGGGTCATATCGTACTGTAATATGACATCTATAAACACCAACTTTGGGAGGACTTGAGAGTGATGCAAAATACAGACAAAAATAACGTCCCCACTTCATTCACTGTGTCCAAACATAGTTATTTTTTATACGAAACTGATTTTCCGTTCATTACTAAAGACTGTCCTCAATAACTCATGGCATATAATGGAAATAAGTACTCCCCATCAACGGTTGTGTTTAGCGTCTGTTTAATTGTTGAAATCTGTGTCGCTGATGTAATTTCCTTAAATGGGCCGGCGAGAAGCAAGCTGTATTTCCATGTAACCAAGGAAACCGTTAAAACATCAGTCCAGATAGGGAGTGCACTTAAGAAGGAATGTATTTAATTCCTGAATACACTTCTCTAACTGTGAACAATACAAATTAATGCCTAAACAATCCCTCAAAGACATTAGTGATTCAGTCAAGTATTGCTGTTTTATTTCTGAATGCATGTCGGTCTTGATTTCATCTCACTCATAAACTGTAAACATAATTTACTGACCCCAAATCCTTCCTCACCCTCTTTCATAACCTAGGGATTAGTAGGACATCTACCATTGAAGTTCAAGCCATTCTGCAACAAATTGCTTAAATTCCACATCTGTCTATTCTTTACGTTGCTCTTCATAAAGTGCTTTGTGCTCAGAGAGGAAGAAAATCTTGTTGAAAGACGCTAATTCAGAAAATGGGCAACAACATCAGTCAAAAAATGCTTACTCGGCATGGAAAGGCTTTAGTTGGTGGGGTACAGGCAACATACGAAATGGCGTTTGGAATATTTTGGATATTTCTTTTCCTTTTTGCTCTTTAGAATGGAAAGAAGTCCACTGAACCCCTCCCTGTTCACTGCTCCCTCGCTCCCCTCACCCATCTACATTTTAAACGGTTGTTCATTAGAAGGACCGATGGACTGAATCCAACCAGTAACAACTCATTGGGCCCCGGTTGATTGATCGCTCACTTAAAATCCCGGCCCCGGTTGTGTGTCAGACTTTCAGCCCCCGGACAGCAGAAAAGAGCGCACAAAAGAGCCTCACACGCCTGTTCGCATGCTTGCATATCACCCAGACCACCGGCGCACACTACATAGCGCGTAGATCCATCTGACTGTGGGCCTCGCTGAAACCCGCCCCACCCATCAGGATCAATGCAAGTCTTTATTAGCTGCTGGCTAAGACTGCTGACTGTGTAAGAAGACCCCGACAGTTCTGGCCTCACACCTCCCTGAATCTACTGCCGGGCTGTATAAACATGGCTCAGTGTCTGCGTGTGAGAGCTTACTGTGTGTGTGTGTGTGTTAGAGAGAGGGTGGGGGACATGTTCTTTCTATAGCATTGTAACATCAGGGGAAAACAAAGAAAAAGTGCTTGGAAGAATGACCATCAGGGACATGTCATCTCTCACATTTTTTAATGCGATCGTTTTCTGAGATTTTCCAAGCTGCTCCTAGCTGGATCAACAATTCAGTGTCAGCAGATCAAGCATGTGATAAGTGGGATTTTTACTGCGGCTATAACACAGCAGTCATAAGCAGTGTTTTTTTTTTTTTATCTTTGGCACGAAACTCATTTTTAGTGCTGAAACGTACACAATGGGCCACGGGAAAAAAAAAAAAAAAGAAAAAAAACTGTGAGAAAGCCGAGTGATTTGTCCCAGAGGAGCTGTCAAGAGCGAGCCCACGCCAATGCCTTTTGATGACCGCCACCAGGGAGCAGCACAGGTCAGATCAGACGGTGTTAGGAGCCCTGGGCCATGTCAGAAGCTCATGACAGGTGTCGAGTTGAGCCCAGTCTCATTTCATACCACCACTCATTAATAGATGATTGATTAAGCCCGAGATTTAAAACAGGGATACAGTTTTGGCACAGCACATGTTGACACGCAGCGACTATGTACATTCATAGTAACAAACTTATTTCATGGCAAGTGCAAAAGCACTAGAGATGTGAACTTCAGTCATTTGTTGGTGATTCTTTTTGGATTTACATGCATTTATTAGGTATAAAAGAAGGGCCGAATACAGACAGATGCCGTTTTGATGCAAAACAGCTGCAAGTCCAAAGCAACTGCAAGATTGTGCCCGGTAATAAAACATCAAATAAATAAAGCTGCTATTCAGCTACAACTGGCCGACAGACGGAGTCAGGTTACTGCGAAAATGGCAGTTTTCCTGCTTGTTCCCACCACAACATACAACATATTGTGTGGCAACAGCAGCCCGGATCACATCTCATCTTTCCCCTTAGCATTAGCATGCGCTATTTTGTCTGCGAGGCTAAAAAGAGGCAAATAACAGACATGAGGTGGCTGGATAAATCAACATAAGCTGAGGGGAGGACAAGAGAAACGAGCTTTTTAGATACTGGGGTTAAATTAGCATTTCCTCCCTAAACCGTACGATGCAGACATAAAATAGTTGGTTTTCTCTGTGTTTTTCCCTCATGATGCTCCACTTCTTCCTCTGACCTGACCTCCTGAGCTGTCAACGGCCCTCCACTGCCCTGACACTAAACGCCGTCAGATCGACTCCTTGCTCGGTTCACTTGAACCTGTGTGATTGATCACATCAGAGCTTCTTTTTATATTAGAACCGTATCTTCTCATCCTTTCCTCTCTTATCTCTTCAGCTCAGTCATCAGGAGGTGATCAGCGACGCACACTAAGGAATTTTCCAGTCGCTATGAGCAAAGAATTAATGGCGGGGATCAAAGGAGGGTCGGGATGACATTGTCAGTCTGGGACAACCAAGCCTGCCGTGTCACACTTCCCAAAGTTTTCGAGGACTTTTGTATTGAACGAAAGTCTTTGGGCCCTACATTTGATCAAGTTTAAGGGGAAAAATAAAGTTTAATAACATCTGTAACAGCTCAAGGAATAAAAATATACCGGCTTAATTGACGTCTATGGACCAAATAGTGTTTTGTAGTGTGTTTTGTATTCAAGCATGCAAAAACTTATAGAGATTTCATCAGGATGAGAAAAAAAAACTCCCTTAATGACAATAAACTCTCAGATTATTATGTAGTGTTGAATGAACTCTACTTCCTCATTCACCTGCCTCATGGAATTCCTTTAGTGGTGCCAAGAGCCAGTTAAAGAGCAAATTCAACCTGTGCAAAGGATAGAAGCAATAATAGCCCTCTCACTTTGTATTACGTCCCCAAATGGATGCGTTTAAAGTAAATAGAGAAAAAGTGACGTTTTTTTCTTTTTCTGTTTTTGAATGGAAATATTTGCTCTCACACAATCTAATCAGGCTGTATCAATGCATCTGGAATAAATGACTATTATTTGGGAGGTCGTGATAAGAGACTACATCTGTCCGTGTTTATCTAAAGCTTCATTAAAGAATGAGATATGTTTATCTCAAATCTGGCAGTCAGGCGATGGGGACATTCTCGAGAGTCTGGAGTGAGTTTATATTCATAGGCCCGCACTTAGATAATCACAAGACCAAAGGGAGACTGAAGCAGCTTCTTTGTCTTCTGTTGGCTGACGGCGCGGATGGGAGGATTGGTTGGGAGGAATATGAGCGTTAGAGAGGAATAAAACTTACACCACAGACATGAGAATGAGACAAAACCTTGGACACCAAAGTCTCTGCGGGGTGGACTGAGCGATGCGGAGGCCAGGCTCCCAAAACAGAGCCGATCCATAGGAAATAAATCAAAACAGACACCTAGCTTGGTGCTGCTGTCTTCACATGCACTACAAGGTGCACGTGTTTAAAAATAGCACAGGGCCTTTGAAACATCTGGATGATGGGCATGCTGTTCTGTCTGGACTTTACAGATTTTCCTCTAATGTTAGACTCAGTTCTTTGCCACTTTTTAATTACTTCCAGATACTCTACAGGCAGCAAAAACCTTCATCTAAGCCCACTGCACCAAAAATTGACATTACAGCTGATAACAGCTCAAAAGAGCTATTAAGAGTATGCTTTTCCTTTTCTACAAATAACCGACAGACAATTAATTTGACCTCAGTCTGTTATGTTTGTGCTTGGCAGACAGATTACTTTAAGTCGTAGCAGAAAACCACTTTCTTAAGATGTGTGTTTTCAATTCAGTCCAATTTATCCCAGACAACCATAGATTCTTAGTCATCCAGGTTATTGTAATACTAAGACCTTGAACAACAGAAACTTGACTTGATTCCCCTGGCTTTTGAAGACAATACACCTGCACATTCACAAAAAAAACAGCAATACCCTGGGTTGTTTCCTGTGTACAAAAGTGAAATAACACAGATGTCTCGTAAAACCCAGAAAAAAGCCCAACGTTCTACTGGTTGGTAAAATAGGAAAAGTGCTATTCATCGGATCAGAGGAAATCCCAAATGCTTCATTTACATCTCATTTAGAACATCGTACTGGGAAGAAATAACGACGTGCTAATTGCATCAATAAAGTCCCCATAATGTCCCACTGGCAGCCACAGGCCAATATGGTGATATATTCCTATCCAATGCTGTCAGAATTATGTCCCAGGCTGCAAGACCATCACAACTGTTTTCTGAAAACTACAGTAGGATTTCAAAACGGCATTCCGTGATTGTTTTACTCAGGTCATCTTCTGTCAGATACAAAGACAAAGTAATGTAGTGTGTTGCTAGGCGTGTTATTCATTTAGTGACTGAAAGCATCCCTCGGGAAGCAATCATTTTATTGGTTCAAAAAAGTCTAAACAAATGCTGTTGTTTCTCTTCACTGATCACAATCACACTGCCAAAACAGCTCCGACAAGTCAGGGGAAGAAGAAGAATCTGAAGGTGTCCCGGAGCGGTTCTTTTTAGATCGGGCTTCCCCCCTCAAAAACGCCACTAACGCTATCCCACAGTTTAGAATCAGGGAAATCCGGACGCTGGTTGACCACCTCGGATGCTTGCGGTCTTTGAGCCCTTCCTAATGAAAACATTTTTGTTTCTTGTGATGCCTGCCGCCGTCCCTCTGGGAGAGGCTGCGAGTGAAAGGCCAGTGCTGTCGTCATTCGGAGGATGTGACAGGCGTAGGTCACGTCCAAACGAATGCCAGGCCGCAAAACATCCCGAGGTGAAAATGTGAGGAGTAACACTTACCTCACAGTGGTCAGTGGTTTTAATGTATGTGTACACATGGCAGCTGTTTATATGCGCGATCCTTTGACAACGTGCGTTTCCAATTCAGTCTGCTGCACCCAAGTGGGAATAAATTATGATAAAATTAAAATAAACCCATCCAACACAATAAGACCACTGTACAGTTATAGGATACCCGTTATAGGATAGCGTAAAGGTTGGCTGAAAGGTATAGCTTTACGAAGTCCGACTCGGAGCTCCCAGGGAGCTGAACCTCTTCAAGATATGTTATTACTCCAAACAAACCTCAACGACCAGCCTGGGAAAAAACAAGACACGAGAGAAACGAGAGGGAATTCGAGACACAAGTAAGCGTTGAGCCTTCCATCTCGGTTTGTTTACAAGTTGTCGAACGGCAACCGGGGGAGAGCGGACACCAGGCCGAGTCTGGTCCGAGACAGCTTGTCAGATAAGGCTGTGATATTCTCCCATCCAGACGGATGCCTCAGAGCCTTTTGCGAGAAGTGTGCGAATGAGATCACAGACGAAAACAGTTGTCGTTTCCTCTAGGGAGACACACTTGTTAATGATCTGTCAAATGTGACACACAGCAGGCTTTGCGGCGCTGTTAAACACCTCGCACATTAACGGGCGAGTTTGATCTCGGTGAATCATCCTTTCAGTGGCTTCTTTCTGTCTCCTTTAATGCAGAAAGTATATGTATTACTTTAGGCCTTAACAGTTTTAACAGCGTTCCGTTTAAAACTGTCAGAGAA